GAGAGATCTTAAGAACTTTGTGTCCATGATTGTTGTTAAGTAAAGCCTGGTTAACACTTTTCAGTTCAAAAGCTGTTAAAGTTCTGATATGATTCAGTGTTGCTGTCCTCCTGCCATTTTGTTATTAATGAACACCTTCGCTAACATTTTATATTTACTTTTTCTTTTTCGCCTTCACCTGGGTTTGTAAATGAATTGTTCGTTAGATCTTGAAGTTTAGTAGTAGCGTCTGAATTTTGTCGAAAATGATCAATTCGTAACTAGACTACAAGCAGTACGAACTTAGAAATTTTGTGTTTGGAGCATCCTTACCGAGAACTGTTTTTAAAAACAGTTCACATTGTTGATTGTGTTCCTCACTGCATGTCGCACTTCTGTGACCTTCCAGCAGTACAAGATAGGGTTAAGAGAAGAATTTAGAAAAACCAGACTTGCTGTAGCCGACCAAAGAACTCCGCTGGTACTTCCAGACCCAGCTACAATACTGTAAGGAATATAGCAGACTAGTAAAGCTACTTGTACCCACAAAATGCTGGACAGTGTTTTTTTATATTTTGCTATGCTGAGCGGACTCCTTTCTGGTTCGTTCATATGATCTAGGAAGTGGTTTTGTACATTTATGCGATCTTGATGTTTCCAGAGTGTCAGGTGAATCTTCACGTAACATGAAGTCGAAGTTATCAAACACAGTAGTACGATAACGGAGGATCCTCGGTAAAATATGTCTTTACTCCACAACCAGATTGGTAAAGTTAAGGCACCAATTAACCAAAAACAGATAACAGCACCGCGAACCCGACCCAATGTTACAACATGTCTGTATCTCATTCCTAACATCAACACGAGGAGTCTGTCCACACTAATGGCCGTCGAGGTTAAGACAGATACTGCAGACAGAATCATACTTGTTAGCCCAGGAATCATTAAGGTACGATACAGAGCATTGGTGTTTATTTCTTTCGCACGAAACGCAGTATACATTGCATAGACATAGAGTGGTTGCACAATGAGCCCAACGCAGAAATCAGTGACTGCTAAGCATCGAAAGTAGAGTTTTGTTGGAGGATGAATAGACGTCACTTGGCGAAGTGCAAAAAGGATCAGAACATTGCTCATGAATGCAGTGATGGAAAGAAGGCTATTCAAAACTAAAAAAAATTCAACCAGGCCTGTTGGTGATGATCTGAGAGTTTCACGTAGAACGCTTCTCAAGATTTCTTTTTCTGAAGAGTTTTCCATTGTTCTTCTTGGTAAAAATTTTCGGCTTGTTGCAGTGTTCTCAGCGTTTTGTGGGTGATTCTGGTAATTCTCAAAGCATGCTCAAGTTGTAATTTTTACAAACCCAAACTGAGCGTGCCATCCTTGTACGATGAGTGTGTACTTTGTTACATTTTTAACATTTTTTCTTGATTTGAGAAATCATTTGTGATGGTAACTGGTAAATACGGCGCTACGCTGTTACATGGCACCTCCCGATTGGCTGCTCAGTGCTGTAAACTAGTTCAATCATCGGAAAAGTTAAACGCAATTAAGAACACTGGAGTAATAATTGTCACCCGTTTCAGTAAGGCTAATCCAACCGAAAAGAAAGCAATAACAGTAGCTGAAATAAAACGAAAACAATTGAAGAAAAACGCACCGTTTTTGTCGTATCACAGATTACCAGGATATTATTTTGGTCAAAGCTTCGTTATTGTTTTCTAACAAAATAATGTTCATTTTAAGGACGCCTCATCAACTATTTAAAGATGGTCGTTTGTTGACTTAAGAAATTAGTTTCGATGATTACATCTGCTAGGATCTTTATGAAATTAAAGGAAACGACCGATGGTTAGCATTCCCTAGGCCTGTACGGCTTAAGCATGCTAGGGTCGTAAGCATGCAGCTTGTCAAGTGGCAGCCTTGCCATGCTTGTTAATTTTTTATGACACAAGCTCTTTTGGTCACTCGTATGAGCAATGTAGGGGGGAACAAGTTAAAAATTATCAAAGTTATCAGTCGTTTGATCACGTGAAATGTGATGCCAAATAAACGAAGGCGTTTAGTTCTTCCATTTGCATACCATAAAGCATTGAGGAGTGGAAAGTGTCCACCTGTATCAGTACCCGTTTTCTTATCTATTTATGCACATCTTTTTGTTTGTGTTTAAAATTATGTGCGGCAACGCGCTTTCATGTATGCCTGTTTAAGTTTCAAGATTCTTGAGAGTAATGAGTTTTGCTGGTGAATTATCTTTTTACTTAATTGTAACTCTGAAAATGTAAATCTTTCGGGCACTGTCTTTACGCGGAATGGGAATATTCACATGTTCGAATACCCTATTTCAATCGCAAATTTAAATTCGGTGGCTTTCAGAAACAAAAAAACAAAACAACGAAAACAAAATGACGAATGGAAGGAAAAATCAAAAAGCGAACAAATGTCGTATGGCAAAATCGTCACCAAAAATGAAACGATCAGATCGTTCGAATCTTTGTCAAGACTATCATGCCTTATTATGATACAAAATATCATTGCCGCATTTCAATTTCAATTCGTGCATGCTAACTGACGAATTCTGCGCCTGCTCTCAGAAATGAAAAGACAGCTCAATGAACTAAACAAAGTAGTTTTTATAACTACCGATTTAGCTCTTAAAAATGATGATAACATTCTTTAACGAAATTTCCAGCAGATCGATTTTCCTAAAGGGAAGGGAGGACATTGTTTATTAAAAACTTTTATGGCTACACCTGCTGGATTTTCGTGGCATTTAAAGCATTTTCAATTCAATTAATTTCGTTCATTGAGATTTCCTAGGCGAACTAAGTTAACTTTGAGTTCTTTTGATATGTTTAAATTACAGAAAACTGTATCGTGGTCATAAGCTGATGTGATTCACTTTTTAATTGGAGTTGGCGGGGAAAGCTTTTCGAGCAAAAATTGAGAATGTTTCATACATTCATTTAGTTGCTAGGAGCAATTCGCAGTCAGGCGAGGTGAAAATACTGAGTGACGAAAACTGTTATTTCCGTATTCTATTTTACTTGAAGACGATTCTTCGCAACAGCGAACATGAGTTGAAAATGTCGTAGTCGTTACTATTCCACTGATGCTGTTTCAAAGTGATCACTGTCGATCCACGCTGTTCTGCCTACAACAGCAGTGTAGCTGTGTGACAGTGTCCTTCACTGCTTGTCGCACTTCTCTGATTTTCCAGCAATACAAGATCGGGTTTAGAGATGAAGTCAAAAAGACGAGAGTGGTCACAGCCAACCAAACAACCCCATTGCCTTTCCCACTTCCAGCCACAATAACGTAGGGAACATAACACACAATTAAGGCCAGTTGTACCCACAATATACTAGACACTATCCTTTTGTATCTTATCATGTGTAATGGATTCCCTCCAGAGCTCGATTCTGCTTGGGGAACATGGTTTTGTATCTGTGCCTGTTGGTGTCGTATAGACAAGTGGATCTTGACATAAGATGCAATAGAAGTTGCCAGAGAAAGCACTATGCTAAGAGAGGACACCTTATCGAAAACATCCTCTTTCCAAACCCAAATCACAGCGCATAAAGCAGAAAAGACCAAAAAACAAAGCATTGTGAGACGAACTCGTGCTAAGGTCACAACATTTCTATATCTCAGTTTCAACAACAGGGCGAGAAGTCTGTCCACACTTATGGCGGTTGATGTCAATAAGGATAATCCACACAAAACTGCACTTGAAGCTATGCGAACTCGCTCAAGATGCTTTTCGTAAGAATTTGTTCTTCCCACGTTTACTAGCGAAGAGATATTGTAGATTATATAGAGCGGCTGGGTAATTAGCCCAACGCTTAGATCCGTGATAGCTAGACATCGGAAGAAGAATTTTGTCGGCGGATAAATAGAAGACACTCGGTGGAGAGCAAGAAGGATGAGGACATTTCCCAGAGTTGCTGTGATGGAAAGGAGAACGTTTATGGCTGTGAATAATTTAACAGAGCTAGGTGACGCAGAGAAATTTGTGTTTACGAGGATTCCTTCTCCGGACGAGTTTGGCATTATTATTGATGATCAGTTGTTTTCTTGAGTTGACGCCAGATAATGATCTTCTTTGTGCGTGTTTCGAATGCAGTTATTTGAAATAGTTTCAAAGTGACTGGTAAAAAAAAAAAAAAAAAAAAACCAGCAATGAACACGATAAATTGATTTACAAGCTCCTTTCTGAATAAATTAAACGGTATGCATCAAGAGTTAGTTTATGTACTTCACTGCATATAGCTGTGACTCGTTCCTTCTTGTTGAAAATGGAATGTTTCAAACTTGTTTTTCTTGTATGTGTATCAACCGAAAAGTGATTCTTGCGGAACTCTCTGACCAACGTCAGGGCTTTAGTCTCTGGAAACAGAGACACTTAGCAACTGAGCTCAGAATTCTGTCTTTCCGTTTGTGCAAATATTTATTCAAAAGAATGGACCCGTCGACTGGGTAAAAGTTTATTGGTCAGAGAACTGAAAGTCAATGACAGCAACCTGCAGAACGCGGAAAACCAGCCCAAGTTCTATTTGAATTGTTTAACGGTATTGTGCCCACTGAAATTCCACTAATGTTGACTAAAACTAGATCGCGAGTTTTTCTTCTTGTGACTGCGTAGTTCTGCAGTAGCTACTGACTGAGAAACTCCTGAGCTTCTTAAGGAAGCTCAACTCCCCCCTTCTAAAAAACCCATTTTGAGAAACTGACGTTGTCCTGTTGTCATTTTCCCTTAACTCTTTATAGTAATCGTTTGATTGGTGTGCCTGTGGCACCAATAAGACTACTTACGCTGCGTAGTAGGGATATAATGTTGTTTTTTATCACGAACGATGACGGCTTTTTTTTCAGGCTTAGCTAATTGACACTCACTGGGTGGTAATTCCTTTGCGTCCCAATTCTTTCCCAGAAAGGCAGGAACAAGGACGGGACTAGAGGAAGCGAGGTGAGTGGAGATTAACTATTGATATACTCATTGCGTTTTATTTTATCGCCAGCGTCATTTCAAACTGTATCCAGCTGCTTGTACAGGACTTGGAGAATGCTTGCGATGCGCCCTTGACAGCATTGATAAAGGTGCAGTAAACTCTTTTTTTTCCTTTTTCATTAAAAGTTAATTTTGCAGGTGACGCGAATTGAGCCAGAAATAATCACAGAAATGGCCCCCAGAGGAAATGGCACATTTGAAGCGCTAAATACAGATCTTTCATAACTCGTTTACAGTCGCCATTTCGTACTTGTTGTTGAATTGACAATTATTTTAAATGCAGGGATAATAATCAGAGATAAACATGGCACGTTTAAATCCATGAGATCGAATTATAAAAATGTAAAAAAAATAGGAGAAAAAAGACCAGCCAGTTTATATTCTTTAGAAATAGATTCCATTTTGCTGTGTTTGTCCAGTTATCGACCAAAGACGACATCCAAACTGTGGCACACGAGCCACAGCGTATCTGGTGTAAATGACTGTAATTCTAACCTCATAAAAAAAGAGTTACTCGGCTCGGCTTTTCGAGGTTTTTCTCCAGTTATTATCACCATTGTTTCTTATTTTGTGCCAGTTGATAGTTCTTGCCTAACTTTCCTCGAGGCCATTACTAAATCGTGGAAACATTTCCAAAACCATGAGCCTTGTTTGAGAAAACAACCAAACAATCTCGGGACGTCACATAAGCGCATGCTCACTTCATATCGACCAAACATAGGCCACGTGGATTTCATTTAATGTCAACTGCTTTTGCTTTCTTTTAGGTCAATTGGCAGAGCGTAGAGGCTGTGGGAGACGAGAGCTCATACGTGACAGCCATTTCCAATCACCTGAAGGAAGCCGTACCACTCTTACGCGATTACCTGTCCTCAGCAAGAAAATACTTTACTCAATTTTGCGTAAAGTTTGTCAAGTAAGCCTGATTTTGATTATCATAAAAGAAAAATCTTTTTTATAATAACGGGAAATAAGAACAATGATGAACAACAGGGGGAGTCGTTTGGAACTCGCAGTTGGAAAGTAACCGGTCCCAAGCGCAAGAAAACGCGGTATTTTTGTAACTTCCAGAAGTGATTAATATGTAACTTCTTCCTTTAATATCCATTCATCATCTAGCAAACAGGTAATGAGAATACTTAAACTTAACCGGTTAAAAGTTTTTGTCTTTATTTGACACCAAATTATTTTCTACCTGTTAGAACGTGTGGTTATCTTGATTTTTTTACTGAAAAAAGGAACTCAAGACTGTTTTGGTTGGGTAATGCTGTTACTATGGTTCTCTCTCACAGATAAAAAGTATTTGCCATAATTCGATATAAACAGCGCTGTTGAATGATTAAAAGTTAAAATGCTCTGATTGTTTTGGAATATCATAAAACTATGATGATGAGCTAGTGAATAATTTTTCTGTTTTCTCCTCAGTTCTTTCATTCCACGGTTCATCAGCAATTTGTACAAATGCAAACCAATCAGTACAGTTGGTGCTGAGCAGGTAATATGAAAGACACTATATCATTACGCTACGTGTCTGGCAATTATTAGTTCGATGAACGTTGCTCATATTTTCAAAGAAAAGAATGCCTCAGTTGTATATGGGTCTGTCGTTTCTGGAGTCTACCTTTACAGTTGATTTGACGTGCATGTCATTACTGAGTTCATTCTAAAAAAAAAAAAAGAAAAAAGAAAAACTACGTTTCCCTTAGTTCATTTAACTGAGCGAACCTTCGTCATTTCATACACATTTTTTTCATTAACATATCTAGAATTGACTTTTTAAATTTTCTGCTCTTGTGACTGAGAAAAGAAGCCAGGCTCAACGTCTGCTACGTTCCATAACGATACATGTATGCGATCATGTGGCTGCGCTATGCAGAGCTTGAATGTCTTACTTGGTGTCTTACCTTTCATTTTTTGTCTTTCCACAACTATCCATGACCCCAATTACTTAATAAAAAAAAACTGATGTTAAAGTGTTTATCTGGATTTTTAAAAGAGGAGAGGTTTGTCCTCATGGTTGGTTCTTTTGTTTGTTTTTACGTTACAGCTGTTACTGGACACTCACTCTCTCAAAACAATTCTCCTCGATCTCCCTTCCATCGGCTCCAAAGTGCAAAGGAAGCCTCCAGCAAGGTAAGCCATTCACCTTACCCTTTAACTGGACTGTCAAAGAAATGTCTTCAACCCACCCCCTGAAGTGGCCTCTAAGGAAGAGGGGTGTAGAAGCCTTAGTGAGGGTCAAAATGAAAGTTACTCTCTTTTATTTGAATAATTACCTAGGTTTATTAAATACCATATACAGTCAATGTTCTCTGCCAAAAGTATTAAAACGGAAACTTAAACCGCCTGACAATTTCAAGTACGTGTTGCGACACTTCCTCGCTTCTTAAACACGAAGGCGCGCTATATAAGGAAGTCTTCCCTGGGAAGACCTAGGCTCATTTGTCACTCACCGTTGACGTGTGCGGGTCAAATTTGAATGCTGGTAGACGAACAAAAGGAGCTAATGAGATATCTATTGTTTACTTCCACCAGCATGGTGGCATGAGGTAACGTGCGAACCACCTACTTCGATCTCAAATTTACTGCCACAAATAAAGACAGTTTTCATTGGAGAAAGGAAATACAAATCTCAAATATTCTTGTATTGTGATGAAGACATAAAACAATTTTGAGGATTGCGCCCGCTGTTCACTGCTTTGGAGTAGCTGTAGCTCAAGCTGACTTGACTCTAAGAGTTCTACATCACACGACGGTTGATTGACAAATGGTCCAGTGGGACCTAAGGCTCCTTTTATAGCGCGCCTTCGTGTTTAAGTGTTTTTTCAACGGAGATGTCTTCCTCGAAATCCACCTTTATTAGAATAACATCTTAGCCCTCTTTGCTGGATGCCTATAAATTTCACGTTAGAGGAGTTAAAGACAACTGCACTTTTCCTTTAGCTCCCACGAGTGACCAATACAGAATTTCCCCTTACAATATCAATACGAAATCAAGCAGACAAGTGATGAGAATTTATAAAAATATCAATCAGGGGATTATTAGTTGATCTAATGACAAATTCTCCAAACTAACATTGTAATAATTGTATGGCAGAAAGTAAGGAGAATCACTTGGTTTTCGTTGTAGGTAGTTATGTCCCCACACGATCCTGCGGTTGGATTTGTGGACAATTATATAAAGTTACTTGCAGATACAGATACTTCCAACTTCCAAAAACTACTGGACATGAAGGTAAGATCAATGATACTGCTACCTTTTGGTTCTCTAACAGTGATGTTTACCGTAAACATGATTATCATGTTTAGGGTACACTTTATTGGCCGAAAAACAACAGGACGGCGCATAGAGCTTCATTTTATGCGAACGTTGTCTCGCACTGTTTTCTGGAGTGGCTTAAGTGATCATATCAGTTTCAATGGCCATACTTAGTCCTTTTTCCTTCCAAAACCGTCATGTTATGTATATACACGTGTATACTGTTTTCACAGAGTAATCATTATGTACCAACTCTCCCCCCAGGGTTTAAAACGCAGCGAACAACACAGCATGCTGGACCTATTCCGCTCTCGTCTCCCCTCCCCTCCGGCAGGTAGTGCACCCGGGGAGTCTACGACCGTTCCGTCCCACACCGCAACCGAGCAGGAGTCGAGTAGAATAAAGAAACTTGAGAGACTGATCAAAAAGCCGTTCTAGACCGACACGTTATGCTATTTCCTTAGTGAAGAAAAGTACGCGCGGGCTACACGCCTTGGATGCTTCTATCAAACTTACTCAGTTGGCGCGTAAAATGTAGGTTTTTTTCGTGATGAACTTGATACGGAACTAACAAAGATATTTTTATTGATAATGATATTGTTAATGATAGTTTTAATGGACCCTTTCTCTAATGGGGAGAATTGATGGGGGCTTACTAAAAAAAAAAAAAAAAAGTTTTGGTGTATGTTGCTTCTCACGAGATATGTTAAAGTGAGATTTAAGAAATTATTCCTTTTAACCATTCTGAATGATTACAGCAACACGAATCAGCTGTATTGTCGCTACCACATGTTCGTAAAGCATCGCAAAAGCATGTGACTTAACGAAACAAATTGTTTCTGGTACTTCGATTGGAATTGTTCAAAGTGGCGGGAAAATATAAGGGCCGCTTATTTACACGAGGTCTAACCAAAACCACGGTTATAACGCAGTCTGTGAGCCTCAGGCTTTCTCTATAAGAGAATTTATTTCATTAAATTAATGTCTTTTCACTGTTAGCTTTCGCCCTTCTTGACGCTGTTCACAATAATAAATGTTCAGATAAATGGTTCAGCTCAACCTGAGGGTTGTTTAGGACGCAGTTTTTATAAACAACGACTAAGCTTTGTTTTACTTTTCCGCATGGCAAAGTATGCTGAAAATTAAACAGAAGCAGTTCATATTTGCAAGAGAAAGCATTTCATCAACGTTATCGTCAGCCATAGCGGAAAGAAAAAAGAAACGGTCTTTATAAAGTGATAATACTTTTACTTTGGATAACATCATAGTTAAGTGGCTATTAGCTTAAACAGAAGCAGTTCATATTTGCAAGAGAAAGCATTTCATCAACTTTATCGTCAGCCATAGCGGAAAGGAAAAAAGAAACAGTCTTCATAAAGTGATAATACTTTTACTTTGGATAACATCATAGTTAAGTGGCTATTAGCTTTTAGCAGAAGCATATGCTTTTGCATTTAGAATATCCCTCTTTTCGAATCGTATAACTTGTTACAAGCCTCTCAAAAGGGAGATTCGTCCGCCAAGGAAAGACAGAAATGGCCTCGAAAGTACTAGAGGAGAAAGGAGTGAGGAACCATAACATTGAAGATAGAATCTACGAGATACACGCTTTTGAAAAAAAAAAAAACAAAACAAAAAACTGTGTGCGTTCGTGAAGTTAATTAAATGGGAGGTACATCATTTGAAGTCCATTCCCTGTTTAACTAAAAAAAGAAAGTTCAACCTTATGAATGTGTTTGAACCATCAAATGGACCGGACGTGGCCGAAGCCTGCAAGGGCCGGATTTGGTCTAGTAGGCGAGACAACAGAGGCAAACAGTTTGACGCGCCAGACAAGAACAGGGATATTTTATGTGCAGACATGACAAAAGGTATTGTTCGGTCCTTCGGCGCTCTTGTTCAGGTAGTATTAAGCCGTAAACTCGAGTCCAGAGAGTACATGGATATTAAGTCTGGATTGGAAGGAAACTGAACAACAATTGAAATCTCCGCATGGTTTACCTCTCGACCAAAACGGCAACATTATAGTTACGGATGCTGAAAATAGACTAAATATAGATGTTTATCACTGAAGGCGAATTTATAAGTGCAATTAGCGAAGGGGAGTACGAAGAGGGTACTTTTGTGTTTCCTGTTTATTGTGTCCATTGCGACAAAGAGTCACACGTTTCATTTGACCTCACTTTTGCGGTTGTCTGATTTGTTTGCTCTGTTTGAATGATTGTTTCGCAGTCAGGCGAGCTTTGCTGAAGTCAATGGTCTGCAGAGCAGGCGTGATTTTGACGCGGGCGAGTGCTCAGTATTTTCTAAGTAAAAAATTATTGCTGCCATCTTTGATAAATACAGGAGCGGAAGGCTGGGGAGAGAGAGAAATTTATACCAAGTGGATGGGCGACTGTCAAAAGAAAGAGAAAAGAGGTGAGGGGTGGGGCAACAGAAACGAGTTCTGCTCGAGGTCACTGTTCTTTTGGGAAACTCCGTGCACGGTAATATTTTTCAAATCAATACGTTTGAAATGGTCAAATTCATGTACTCTTATGAAAGTAACCTATTGCCCCCATTGCTTCTTAACCTTTTTGTAACAAATAGCCAAATTCACAGCTATGGTACCAGTACAGCCAATAATAATCGAACGCATTTGTGTCGTTAAAATGTCAATCAATTTTCAATTCTCTGAACTCTTCTCCTGTTTCAGTCACTCGTTCGTACCTTTTTTAGTATTATTATTACTTGCCTGACTCCAAAATTCTTTCAATGGCTAGATGGCATGTTACATCTCTATATGGAGTACTTAATTTTTGCTTGTCTTGAAATATTCAGCTTGTTTAGGCTACGGCATTAAAGAAATTCTGTGTTTTGTGAATCATAGGTTGGTACCCCACCCTTTCAGAATTACCGCATTCGCCCAAAAGTCACCGTCGGTGCCTAAAGTTGTTTCAGTTTGTAATGTTTTTTAACCCTTTGCATACTAAGTGAATACCTTTACTACTTTTGATACTTGTTTCTTGTTGAACTTAAGACACAACATTATGTAAGTGTGTAAATTGTGCCAGCTAATTGATGTGACACCTATTGCAACCTAAAACGCCCACAATGATTCCTGATTTTCATTGCAGTGAACCGTTCGTATGGCAACAAATCCCAAAGTCCAGCATTTTGCTCCAAGAGCAACACCAAAAACATGTCGATCTTTCATGAGGGAAAATGGCTCGAAAAACACTTATAAACGGCCAGAAAAGCGAGAAACCGAATCGATTTGAACGCATCCAAACACGAACTGTTGATCTAGGTCATGTGACCCCAAGGTCTGAGCCCATGGTGTCTCAAAACCGCAAATATTGTAACGGATAACCCATATAAGGACCAACAAAGTGAGGTTAAGTTTGTACCGCCAAATTACAACTGGAAAAAATATGGTCTTTTTCGTATTCAAAGGGTTAATGCTGTATAGTACACTTGTTCTTTCAATTAAGGGTCATAAAACAGTGCGGGAGGTCGAGGGTTCGAGCCCCGGCCGGACCAACACTCAAGGTCTTAAAATAATCGAGAAGAATTTGCTACCTTTCTATAAAATAAAGAAATGGTTAGATATTCTAGTCTTCTCAGATAGGGACGAATAAATGGAGGTCCCGTCTCCTGCAGGGTTGAGGGTAGGAGACGTTAATTACCCACACACTAGATTACTGTGTGATGGATGTCCTCCCCTGGGGTGGGATAGGTGGGTTTAAGGGGTTAGGTGTCAATTGGGACGAAAGTTCTGTTATTTTTTCCTGGTATTCCCGTGGCGAACAAATTAAATTCCTTAAAAAAAGTTCAAAATAGCTAACTCTGAGGCGCGAGAAGAGAGGTGTCTTTTTTCAAAATTAATCGTGGGGTCAGACCAATGCAAACATTAAACATTTCGACATTAAACTTAGATTACTTTCGACATTAAATTTGAAATTGCTCTTGTGAAATGAATTACGTAGATTTTAAATTGATGATAAGCTAACAGTTTTTGATGAGTTGGCAGCAGGATTTGATTTGATTTTAGCTTGTCGACATGTAACTTCTTCCACTGAGCTTGCCAAAAAAGGAGCTTGGCGAAAAAAAGTTTTCAGGGCGTGGTCGGGCGCATAGGGAAAGGTTACCCCACTGTGATTTACGTACCTTCCTCCCCCCACACCATCCGTCCCCGGTACGATTGTTCGATCTTGGTATCCGATTGCACTCCTTGAAGAATCGTTCTGAATTTTTCCTTTCTGATGTCCTTGTTCAACTCCACGTCAAATGAAATTTAGGTGCAACTAGTCATTAATATATTTTTATGTGAAAGCGTACTGGGTGTGATCGTTCGACTGAATGTAGCCCTGAGAAGGACTGAAGTCGGTGGGTAGTGACTGACGTTTCGGCAACTTGTGCGGAAGCCATCATCTCTTGACTCTGATGATGACCTCCGCACAGGTTGTCGAAACGTCAGTCACTACCACCGACAACAGTCCTTGTCAGGACTACACTCACCCGGACGATCACACTACACTTCTACATGTTACTCCCGGGTTCAAACCATTTACTGTAATATACTTTTAGTTCAAGTATTACCCAATAGCACCTTTATCAGTGTCAGCGTTCCACAAGCTAATCATATTGATCAACTAAGCAAGTCCCAAGAGCGGCTAACCTTACTACCAGTCGCGTAGTAAGGAAGGTTAACATCAAAATGTAAAGGTAAAGACATGATGTCGTTTACACTTTTGTAGGGAGCATGCAATTGGTAGTCTTTGAAAATTGTTTATTTAAAAAAGTGGTTATTTACATCAAATTGCACTCGAAATCATGTTAATACTTATGGATGATATACATGAAAAAAGCATTACGGAAATACAAGACCGGCCAAATTTTGACAGCGCGCGCACTATTTGTAATTTCCATACGTATTACAACTTTGCACTCGTGTTATATGAAAAATGCACTCGTTTTGAGCCAATCAGGAGTAGTTTTTTTTATGGATATTATTCAAAAGGAAACAGAACTAAGACCTCCAGAGTAACAGCATTGGTTCATCTTGGTTGTGGTCGTTGGACTTTGCTTTTGACACCTCCTTGATACCCCTTGGTACCGAGAACTACCGTCTTAAGGTTGAGCTACAGTTAAAAAGAAATGCTCTTTGACGCACCGCACACACATCCATTTTCTTTTCAGTCAGTTTAAATCCTTTTACCGCTGAACAATGTCACCCCTCAATCACGAGAACAATAGAAATGATCACCAACTGAAGATCTTGATTATTAAACAAATTCTCCTTGTGAGTACCACAGGAAATGCATAGAGAACAGTATGGATGAATACGTATACTGATGTTAGGGAAGAAAGGGTCAAGACACCCCATGCTGTAACATCTATGATGACGTCATACTTGCGTCTTATATTTAATCAGTGACGTAATTTTTTTCACCTACCCCATGTCTGAATTAACCGTTTAACTTCTAATAATGACTGGCATCTGACTCCTCCTTACAAAATCACTGCTGAATCAAACGCCAAGGCCATAAGAACAAAAAAAAAAAATGATCGTCAATTAAGTAAGCTCAAACAAATTTTCTTTACTTCTAGCTTGGAGAATGTATCAAGAATTAAGTGGAGAATTTTCCTACTGATTTTAGTTCAGGCTGAAAGTGAGCAGATTATGTTGTAAATAAATTTCTCGGAACTAAGTCGGTTAGTTAGAAATGGAGGCGATACCTACAACTGGGAAAAGAGCGCGTACAAAAACAGCGCGAACAAAACGAGCGCGTACAAAATGAGCACGTACAAGATGATCACGTACAAAACGAGCGCATACAAAACGAGCGCTACAAACACAGCGCGAACAAAATGAGCACGTACAAAATGAGCACGTGCAAACGAGCGCGTACAAAACGAGCGCGTACAAAAACAGCGCGAACAAAATGAGCGCGTACAAAACGAGCGTGTACAAAAACAGCGCGAACAAAACGAGCGCGTACAAAACGAGCGCGAACAAAACGAGCGCGTACAAAACGAGCGCGTACAAAAACAGCGCGAAGAAAACGAGCGCGCACAAAACGAGCGCGAAGAAAACGAGCGCGTACAAAACGAGCGCGTACAAGACGAGCGCGAACAAAACGAGCGCGTACAAAACGAGCGCTTACAAAAAGTGCGCGTACAAAACGAGCGCTTACAAAAAGAGCGCGTACAAAAGAATCTTACCTTAGGTTGTTGCACAACTAACGAAAAAGGTGGTCTCGACAATAATTACTTTGGTGCTTATTCATGGGGCCGAGAAAGTTACCTACGACAAGTTAACATTAACCACAATATCGTAGTTTGTATACAGGTGGTCTTTGCAGATCATGTACGTTATACGCTCCACAGTTTTTTACTTGAATGCTGTTTGACCACTTTCAGCAGTTGCTTGCCCAGTGATGACAGACATTGCGCGTTACAATGCCTTCATCAGTCGTAGGATACTGACCGTTGAGCCATCCAGGGGCAAGGGTATTGCATCCACGCACTTCTGACCGACAAGCGGTAGGCATTGTGGTCTCTCCAGAAACTTCAGTGAAGCGATACCAACCAGGAGTAAGATCACGTTGATCGCATTTGGGCGAGGTCTGATTGGTATAACTCGCAAGACGGTCGTTTGCATCGAGTTTTTGGTAGTCAGAGCATGGGTCAATAGATGTTTCAGCTGTTGGAATTTAAAAAAGTATTCAACAGATCTTTGTTTGACAAATTCAGAGACTTTACACCAAATTCAGTGTAGCTGTTACATGAATCCGCTGATGTTGTAACCTATAGAATCCGCAAGAACATCTATTAATTGTATAAAGTGCATACAGCTGCCAAGAGAGCCATTTTAAGAAGATGTATTTTAGGATAATGGTTATAAAGACTGCACACCACTTTTAATTTGACTTTTCAACGGAAGTACCTTGAAACGTTTGTGACTAAATGACATCCATATAGATACAACTCTAGTTAGATTTACGCGGTAATGGAAGAATTCTGTTATGGTCGCAAACCGGAAATAACTGGTATATAAATTACCACTTTTTTATTTTCCGTTTTACCAATTTTGCAGATTAGAATCTTTAGGAGGAAGATTGAGAAAAGACCGCATACAAAAACAGCGCGTATAAAATGAGCGAGTACAAAACGAGCGCGTACATAAAAAGTGCGTACAAAAAAGCGCGTATAAAACGAGCGCTTACAAAACGACCACATTCAAAGCGAGGGCGTACAAAACTCGCGTGTACAAATCGAGCTAGTACAAAACGAACGCGCTCAAAACGAGCGCGAACAAAAGAATCTTGCCCTAGGCTGTTGCACAGTTAACGAAAAGGGTGGCCTCTGCAAGAATTACTTTGGTGGTTATTCATGGGGACAAGAAAGTAACTTGTGACAAGTTAACACTAACCACAACATCGTAGTTTGCATACAGGTGGGTTTTGCAGCTCATATACGTAATACGCTCCACAGTTATTCACTTTGATGTTGTTTGACTACATGCAGCAGTTGCTGGACCAGTGATAACAAACTTGAGGCGTTACAATGCCTTCATCAGTCGTAGGATGTTGGCCGTCGAGCCATTCCGCTGCATGTGTGCTACATCGACGCACATCTGACGGACAAGTAGCAGGCATTGTGGTCTTACCAGAAATTTCAGTGAAGCAATACCAAGCAGGAGAAAATCACTTTGATCACATTTGAACGAGCTTTGATCAGTATAACTCACAAGACGGTCGTTGATGTCAAGTTCTCGGTAGCAGTTACACGGATCATCTGATGTTGTCCCTTCAGAATCGGCAGGAAAATGTGACAATTATACAAAGTCGAAATTGCTGTCTAAAAGGAGACTTTAGGAAGACTTGTTTTTCGATAATGAACTATTTATTTCATATTTAGTCTCAACACCCTTTGATAAGTGAACGGAATGAGGGCCAGGGATGGCGCAGTGGGGAGAGCGCTTGCCTCCCACCACTGTGGCACGGGTTCGATGTTCGAAGCTGATGTCACATCTGTCGCATGTGAGTTGAGTTTGTTGATTGTTCCCATTCCTTCTCGCAGGGCTTTTCTCCAGGCCCCCCTGAGTTTCCTCCTTCGAACAAAACCGACATGGAATGTCTACAGCTAAATGTCATTATTTTTATTTTTGTTTTTATTTGATACAGTCTTTCTTTGGGGTCTTCGTGAGGTGATGGCTTGTTCGACTTGTATCAACAATTGTACCAAAATTGCACTTGTATGACCAAAAATTTTGGCCAGTTTACGGCTGACGGTTAGTTTCTTTTCGCTGCGATTAAAAGAAAAAGTTTTTATGGTTAACTTTTTTTACGACTTATGGTTAAAATTCGTCAATTTTTTCGCCTAGTGGCTAATTTTTTTTCTGTTCTACGGCTACCTCCACTGAGGCCATATCTTATTTAAGCATGAAAGGCAAAAATACCAAAGATTTAAAGTTATTAGATACTCATGCAAGCTTGCAAAAGTAAAGTAAATATCATGTTAATAGCTGTTACCTATTACTGCACCAAACAGGAATAACAACTTGACAATGTTTGCAACCATGTTTGTTCCTAAGAGAAAAAAAAACAATATATTTTGTTAGTGTCGATTTTTCTCATGCTCTTTGTCTTCGATGGTGCGAAGTTAGAAGGGTTTACTTTGTGGGGTGCTTCCAACGATCGATTCTTTTACCTCATTCGCCTATCAGAGAAGAGTGTAAAAAACGAAAAATGAACTCATATTATCTATGTCCTTCAAACAAATAGGTTTGGGACAAACAATTAGGAACGAAGTCAGCGCTAATGAATGTGAAGGTATTTATGAATGCACCTGTCTGAGCTCAGAAAGAAAATGAACACTGAGTTTCTTCCAAACGCCCGGGGTTTACAACCAGGAAAACTCGGACGAAATGAACTGACAGAGCCCAAGACACCTGTTACTAAGGATGAGTACAAATGTAAATGACTTCTCTGTGATGTAGATGAGATAGGTTGCATACGGGAGCACCTTTTTCCGCATGTTCGAGGACATTAGTACTCTTGCCACTGGAAAACACTTGCAGGAAATACAATTGGGAAATGAATTTAAAATTGCGAACCTTCAAAACGGAGAACATTTCCTAGGAAAAGCTTGATTGCTTAATTTACAAAAGCTGGTTCATTACTGGCAAGAAATCTGAACTGAACACTGAATTTCTTTTTACAGCGACAGCACGTTTTAAAACTGTCTTTTGGCACGCTTCTCTTAGTATTGTTCCACGAACTTTAACTTACTATAACTGAATTTTTGGCCTTGTCGTCAGGCGAAACTTAACATTCAGTAACAGGGGCACTGGTAGAACTTCGTTCGAGACTAAAATAGCACCCCTCTCATCTTGGTTATCCGGTTGGCTCTTGATTCTGTTTGGGGAACGGTTATACCATTTAAAAGCATCAGGAAACAAGTAAAAGAAACAAGAACATCAAGGCTCTAGGTCGTTTTTGTACAGATCTCGCTGCACTCGTCCACATTGCGATGACCTCGAGCCAATATTCCTCCGTATGGCCCTCACGCTAGGTTGGTAAGAAGTTAATATACAACAGCTAGAGCTCTGCTACAGAAGAACCCACAGAACTAGAAAAATGGTTCAGAAAACCGTTGTGGTAAAGGACTGCGCAGTGAATGTACTAAAAGGAAAATGGAAAGTCAGTGGGATTCTATTGCAGCTTCATTGTCATAAGTCGATTAAGGTAGACCAAATCACTGAACTGACTACCTTTTCTCCTTTTCTTCTGTAATTCATCTCTTTTCCTCTGCAATTTTTTTATTCAGCTTTTCCTTTTCTCTTCTCTTCATTTATTGCTTCTCTTGTGTCAGCCTTTTTTCGGATAATTTGTTCCTTGTTTTCTAGTTTCCTAGCATAACCGAATGCCAAATTGTCAGAGTCTACGATCATCGCTCTAAAGGAGAATAAAACGGATCTCAACATGGACATTTGGATTTGTATGTAATGATATTGTATTGTTGTATTTATAGCTTGCATTCTTGGGGCGAATAGGTTGATCCGCCTTAAAAGTGGCAGATAATAGATTAGAACAATGAAACCTACGAACTACAAGGTACAGCCTTCAGTACTTACTTCTTGCTAACCGAGCGTGAGGGCCTTACTGGGGAATATTGGCGAAGTTCGTCCCAATACGGACTGAGCGCAGAGAGGTCTTCACAAAAACAACGTAGGGCCAATATTCCTCAATACAGCTCGAGCTAGAGAGCCGAGTAAGTACTTTATCATATGTCACTCGGACCTAGGCCTTTATAGATTATGCTAGTAAAAGTAGTATATTATGCTAGTAGCATTGCTTTTTTTGGCGAAATTATACTAAAATTATGCTCTTTTTTTCCAAATTAGGCCCTTTTTTTAATTATGCTCTGAAAAAATTGCAAATAAGTCCGAAAAATACAATTTTAACTCGTGAATTGTGCGCATGCGCAAGAGCGAGTTGTAGGTATGAMGTGATGAATGGCGCTCGCTCGCTCGCTCGATTGGTCGATTCCTGTAAACTTTGTTTTATTTTAGGCTTTTGAACGCATTAGATAGTTTTTGGCGAGTGATAAACAAACGAAATGGCGACCTTTGTTGCTAAGAATACTGTTGGGGTGAAAAAGAAGCCAATGATAATCTTGAACAGAGTTAATAGAGGGAACCCTCTATTAACTCTGTCTTGAAAGAGTAAAAAAGCATACGTTTTTCATTTGTGAATTAATTAAAGTTTGCCCAATCTCCGAATACACTTTTATCTCTTGCAGCGTATATTTTATTTATGGCGTCAATACTTCTATTTTTAAATGCATTTATCCAGGAAAATGATTATTGTGTCCAAAAAAGAAAACAAAGAAAGGAAGGTAAGCAAAACGCAAAATTTACCCGCGTACAGCGGATTTGAACCAATTACGTCGCCACCATGAGATCAATATCTACCGCCTGCTATATACCGTAAGGCCACGGAAGCTCCTTCAGTATTACATCTGAAACTTTATTTAATTATAAATTTTACATTTCAAATGCTGATCTTTTGGTAATTTCAACCGCGGGCTCAAACGACTCGAGTCGCTGCTCGCCGATAGTCCGATATTACTGGAGCATCGCTCACGGCCAACTGCTCGTAAAGTGACTTGTTAAGTTTGTATATTTCCAGATACCTTGAATTAAGGATTTTTTTCTTAAAAATGCGTCCTGGAGTGAGGACAGGAAGTTCTAAAGATGGGGACTGATATCACTCAAATGAGTGTAATTATCAGTTCTCAAAACAAGGAATGTGCACTGACAATGAGTGACAAATACTGCCTAAAACTGATAGCAGAGTCCTTACTTTAAGGTGACTGAAGTTTCTCCTAGTAAGACCTATTGTTTTCAAAATGAGTAAGTAAAGATCTCAAAAGAGAGCACTTACTCCTCAAAGATTGTTAAATAATACATCATCCCTATGTCCTTGAGACAAGGATCTTAACTCCAGGAAGTGGTTCTTTCTATCAATATTTTTTGCATGTAACACAGGTTAGCCAGGCCATACTACAAACTCAACAACAACTTTTAATCTGACATAATAAACCCAAATTGTGCTTTCTTTAAAATGTATTACATTATTTTGAACTTAAGATACCTGCACAGCAGCGAGTTTTATTTTGAAGCAAGACTTAAGTTGCACCTCACTTCATTTGATGTAGATCAAATATACAGCAAAGTGACATGGCTTTATACCTAACACCAATTCTTCAAGAAATGGCACAACTAAATGTTAACTTAATATGCTGAAATTTTGGTAGTTACTAAGACAAGGAATTACCTCGAAAGAGCTGGAACTCAGTTGGAACTCAGTTGGAACTCAGTTGGAACTCAGAGCTGGAACTCAGTTGGAACTCAGTTGGAACTCAGTTGGAACTCAGTTGGAAAAGGCTGATGGGATATTAGCCACAGGAAGCCTGATAAAATATTTCTGATGCAAATGACCTCATGGGGCAGAATACAATGCATCAAGGGATAGGATATTTCCCGCAAAATCTCCAACATGATGGCGGAGGAGTTTGATCTCTCGCCCTTAGGGGGTAGGATTATTAACTAATATATATCTTTTTGTTGGCTACTTACTTAAATTGTGAAGGCAGTAACATCACTTAATAACTGTGCCACACTGTGAGCCATATTGTTGTGTTTTTCACCTAATAACTTAGTAGTGAAACATGTTGTCTTCCATTCCATGTCACGATTTTCCACTAGGATTGAACTCGGCCTCCATTGTGAAATATTGTATTGGGCTTTCTGTGGCTACTATCCCATCAGCCTTTTCCAACTGAGTGAGAAAATGGTGGCAGGTCGTAAAGACTTTGTTTAGCAAGTTAAAATCTAGTATATGGAGACAAATTCAATCGAAAATCATTTTTATGGATCATTCTTGGGTCATTCTTGGTCATTCCAGCTCATTCTGGATCATTCCAGCTCTTTCCAGGTAATTCCTTGTTTTAGTAACTACCCTGAAATTTTAACTATTCAATAAAGATCTTCATGCAGATTTACCAATACTAAAATAAACAGTATATAGCGGCTTCATGACAAACACAAACTCATCAAGGAATAGGTATAGTAGCCTTTCCTTTGAATCATACTGAACATTACTCTTTCTCTTTGTCAAAAATATTGTTACAGATTTGCCTGTACCTAAATGTTCGTCATAGAGGCTTTACACCTAGGACATATTCTTCAAGAAATTGATACAGCAACTTTTCTTTTGAATCATATTGTAGATTAAAACAATAACAAGTTGACAGTGACAACAACAATCCCTTTACAAGGATGAATATCCTAGCTGGTGTATGACTATAATTCTGTCAACTAGTGGTTTATATTTAGTTTGAGATTCTTTACTCTGGTTCAGTAATTTTTTGTATAATAATCACATGATTGTAAGTAAAAATTACAAATGGTAGCAGTTTACATTCCATGCTTATTCTTCTGGAAGTTATAAATTTATGATTTATTTTGACAACCACTTTGATTGTCATTTGAAATTAAAAATTTTTGTGAATTA